GCAACATAAACTGACATGTTTTGTTACATTTGACAGTAAATCAAGAAATCCAACGATTTTTATAGCGTACTAGATACTAGAACCAACCCTGGAATTAAAAGTGCAATATATGGAATTCTGAGCATTAATATCACATCAAACAATAATTGGTTATTTAAAGGGATAGTGCAGTAATGTCTGAGCACAGAATGAAGTTGCTCTCCCTCTGTGTGTTTTTATTATCACACCTTCTCTTTGTTGACGTAGCCGGGCCGGCCGATCGAGCTTTTAGTGCATGTTAGTGCATTTTAGTGCATGTTAGTGCATGTGAGCTGATGCTGACTGCAGAAGTGTGGCGCCCACCCTGCGGTAGGTAACCCCTCAGGTAAGCACTGCTAGCTGTGTCAGCACTTTTGTCGCAATGTGCGCTGTTAGCTCCTAGCTGCCGGCTCAGCCGTCACCATGTTGAGCCATTGAGAGGCAATCCAAACGCTCCCGGTCTCACGGATAGAGCCTTTAAAGCTTGACAGTGAGAATGAATGAATTATCTGTTCAAATGAAGGCATCAGCAGCACTTTTTGCTTTTGCAGTTACAAGCCTTGTAGATAGTTCTTCACTTTACTTGCCATGGTTTTGACAGTATAGTTTATGCAAATGTCACATTTAAACCCGGATGAAGGCAACAATTCCAAAAGCATCCGGGGAAGAAACACGGTATTGTAGAAGAGTTGTGTGACCTCGTCACATTTCAAAGGGTCAGCTATGGCTGATATTCAACTGTCAATTTGATCAAAAGGAAATGTTACCTGCGTAGCAGAAACTTAACCAGAATGCAATGCAGCTGGTGAGGATTTGGTAAGCTGGTGCATCTTTCTCCACAAGAAGAACAATATCATTGAAGTATTTTTAGCAATCTTAGACACACTGCAGACATTAACTAAAATAAGCTTCCACACTTGTCTTCAACAGCCTCGACTCTTCCCTTTGAGAATAATCTGCTCTCTCGTTACATAAATGGTCAGAACAATTTAGAAGAGAGCATCAGCAAAACAGAATCCTCCCTTGACCCAGTGTTGTCATGTAAGCTGTCATGAACGCTTCCCGAGCTGTAGGGATCCTGCTGAAGAAGCTTGTTTATGGAGATACACAGCTGAGTGATGACACTCTTAATCACCGCTAAAGGAAGGTAAAGAGTCCATCCACAGAATGAAGCTGCGAGGGGTCCTCCGATGGGTCACAAGCATCAATCAGAGTTTACCGTCCCAGTCAGCAGTTAACCAGGGTTTGTATTGACCCTGCCGGTGATAAATAACCTCTGGTGGAGCGACACTCGACCGGGTTTAGGGTCGACAGAAACGGTCAAATCAAGACTGAGTGCAGCGCTGCTCCTCCATGATAATCTCTGCGTCTGTGCAGATCTTCACTTTCTATTAAGGGAAATAGAAATTCTCAAAACCAACAGTATATAAAGTAAGTTACAATTAGCTCCACCGTTACCAGCTCCAACAATAAAGTGATGAACACATTAATTCATCACTAATTACGTCTAATAATACATAATATTCTGGAATGGACCATTCTTTAAAATACGTACTTTTACTTTTGATGCAAAAACTTTTTTTTAAGATTTTGAAAGCAGGACATTTAATTTGAACAGAGTATTTCTACACTGTGGTACTGCTGCATTTACTTAAATAAAAGATCAATGTACTTCTTCGACCTCTGAGTAGCTTGGAAATCAGCCTGACCTGAAGCTCCCCTCATCGTCTCTGGAGACTAAAAGTGCCTGTTCACCTCGTGCACCAGCAGATGGCGCCACAAGGGGTCAGATTCCTGCTGTTGTCGTGGGATTTAAAGAGTCACGTCACACAAATGAAAACCCAAAATGCTATTTGTGCATATCCAGGTTTGGATGGTTTAATCTACTGCTATGGCAGCTTCCACTCTTCTTGTTTCAGGCTCTCCAGCTGATTTTTGGAACTTTAGCTGCAGGGATTACATTAGTTATATTGGCCGATAAGACCCGGCTCGCAGTCAGAGTTCAATTTCATCCATTCAAAATGATTCAACAGCGACATTCATTTCGTATAACAGTGTCCCTGTTGTTTGATACTTGGGTAATGTGACCCTTCAGTGCCACTCCACACAAACAGCCAAATATTCTCCTTTTTTAAATGTCCCATTCCGTGCAGCCTGGACCAAAACGTGCACAGAAAATAGACTTGGTCGTCGTGCTGCAGGTATTGTGGCTGCAGGATGCAGATCATTCCTGCAGCGCATGTCATACTCTGGGGTTTTCACATTCTGCGTGCCGACAGTGTGAGGTTCACCACCCTACCGACCTTTTCCTTCCTCTACTTCTTCTTCTTCTTCTTCTTCTTCTCCTCCTCCCCGCCAAGACGAGAGGCCCAGATACAAAATGTAGTTCACCACCACAGGAGCCACACAGACACACCCCTCGGGGTTACAGTCACACACACACACACACACACACACCCTGTGTCAGACACACCCCT